ATTACTGTATATTTTTAGGTAGATAATATTTTATAACAATTAAAGTTTTCATTACCTCAATATAATTATTCACTTCAAATTTAAAAACGGATTTATAAACCTTTTTCATTTTACTTAATGATTTTTTCTTATATTGTCCATCAAATGAAAGAAAATGACAGGTTATCTTAATCAATCATCTTATTTAGAAAAATTTGATAACTGTATAATTTAATTATGATATAAAACGAAAGGCGAATATTTTTTCTACAAAGTGTTGCTGTGCTATCCAAAAATATAGTCAATAGCATTAAATATAGTATGATATTTAAACATATTAATCATTTTATTTGACATCGAACAAAATATTTAATTATTGGTTTGTTTTTTTTTTTCCGAAAGTATTTACAAAAGTGTTTTTAATTAGAAACACAAAATCTTCTGGCAGCGTGTATAGTAGACGTTTAATTTAATATCAATGGATGATTACAGTTTACGAGTATACCATTGTAGTACCTACATTTTTATAGTGAAGTATTGCGTAATGCATATATTAGATCAACTCGAAGACATTTTCTTGTACGTATTTTGCGATTCAAATGTTTCATTTGTTACCTTATTAGCATTTTAATAATATTTATTTACTATTTTTGTACCCATAAACTATGTTATCAAAAATATATTATTCTTTACGTTAATCAACAGTAGAAAAACAGTTTAGTTAAGACTGAACTCTTGATGTAGTTTTTCATTATGATTCAAATTATATTAGTACTTTAAAGAACACCACACACGAAAATGCTTGCTTTAAATTATTATTAAATTTTGAATTATTATAGACAAATTTAAAAATGATTCGGTTAAAATCCAATGCTGAGTTATTTAGACGATTGATGGTCATTTAAATCTGGTGTATTTTTTAAATCGTTTTAAAAACTACTATCAAAATATAGGTTTTAAAGGAAATTTTAATTAAAATATTAAAAAAAGTTTTTTCCAATATTTTGATTTTTTAAAATTTATATTTGTAGTATTATAAATATCTATAAATATGTTATAATGTTCGATATCATCATAAATTGACTCACAAAACGTAACTAACCGTATTTACCAAAATCTATTTAACATCAAACAACAGAATCATAGAAAATATAAGTCTTGTAGACTTGATAAGAGTTAGGTATGTAGTTACTAAAAATATTGTTTTCTATATGATCATAATTTTATCATAGTAATAATATTAACTAGTTTAAAACATTGCAGTATAAATAATCTAATGTTTAGAATTATATTAAAATACACTTACTTGAACAATTGTATCGATATAATTTAAAAATTAATTAAATAATATAAAATACAAACTTCGATGTCATATTGCAGAAGATGACATAACTAGGTAAGGGATATGCACATGCTTTAAATTAGTAGAACATCAAACAAACGTTAGTAAGTACGTTTATTTTTGATCTAAATAATGTATTTAAAATATGAACATCAATTTTACCATAAATTAATAATGTATAAATCACTTATAACTAATAAGGTTCCATCTGCAGAACTCTTGAAACACAAATTTAAGATTACCTCATAGTATAATCTCTTGTACTCGCATAATTTAAGCCTTTCAATTATCTGTTACTCTCGGAATAGTCACTATACCCTGTCGGTATAATATCGCAGTACAGTGTACTATTAAAACTGTATATTAAATTAGATGAATTCGTTAAATAAACCAAAAATAAACTTCTGCTTATGTTTACTCTATAACTTACCAACATCTTAGTATACCTTTTTCAGTCGATTTATAACGAATTTAATTTAGGTAAAATTATTCTATAGATACCATATAAAATTTAAATATGGTGACTAGATGTTGGAAAGTGAATTAATATTATTTTTTTAAAATCAAAAATAGCTATTTTTGGATTCAATTATTGTGATTTAATTATAAACATTAGTATCTTATTCTCATTTCAAATTCACGTAAGTATAATTGTTAATGTACAGTTTTTAATAAACTAAAAACTAAAATTAAAATAAACAATGTTTTTTATATTGTCAAAATATTTTCTTAAATTTAAAATTAAATAGCCAAAAATGTATAACGTATTCAAAAATAATAATATCGTAATAAATAATAGGTTAAAATTCTAAATCTCAAAATATTTGTTTTTAAAATAAAATTCAACATGCTCATTATTGTCGTAGTTTTATTAAATGGCCTTCAAAGTATAATAAATCATTAAAGTCACATACGTTTACAAAACATTTTACTCTGAAATTTTGAACCATTAAAATTTCACGCTAGATGTTGAAAACGTATTTCCGCTTGAAACATTCCTATATGTATTATTTCAACTCAGCTATATATTAAATGTTTAGTCTAAAGTGACAGACGTGGTATTTGCAAAAGAATCCCAGAATATTTTCATGTTAAAAAAAAAAAAAAAAATGTCAAGAACATTTATTTCCGGTAGTCTAGTTTGTTTATAATATTTAAATTTTAAAAAGAACTAACATGTTGAGTTTATACTTAGTATAAAAATTCGCGCCTATTAATAGTTAAGATAAAGACCACTAAACTAAAAGAAATGTTTTTAATATATAGTTACTGACATTATAAAACAAAGTGACTGATTTTCTAATAACCAACCCAAATTTTAACCACTCTTAAAAACCTTGAAAATATTCTAAGTTTTAAAATCCGATTTCATTCAATTAAATAAAGCCTAACATCCGAATTGATCATAATCCAAATTAAATTTTGTTTATACATACTTACAAATCACATTTGATATTATTCATTAAAATATTTGTTAATGAGAATTCAAATCAAAAATGTATTAAAAAATTTAAATCTGTCATTTTTTAATTCTTAAATCGAATATTTTTTGATAACAATATATTTATCTAGTTATGTAATTTAGAATTATTATAAATAATAATAAATATTTAAAATATGTAGTAAAACAATAAGTTGAATAATAAAAAAAAAAAAAAAAATGAAAAATAAATAAATCTTCCCAGAAAAAGTTATTGAATTCATAAAATATTAATTATATTTTTGACACAACAATAATGTTTAGCCTGAATTTTAATATTATAGATATACGTTTGCCGTTTATGTTTGTATTCTTACCATCTATGTAGTATGTAACAATGATATTGTTTATATATTATGCTATTGAAATTAAAGTCATGATAATTAAAAAGATTAAAATAGTAAACAAATTTTAATGAATCCTTAGTTCTAAGATTAATATTTTTTATTTTGAAGTATACAATATATATTCTAGACATAAAAAGAATATTTGCTCAGTTCCTTTGTTGTTTATTTATATATAGCCCTTATATATAAATTGTATTTATTTATTTATTTATTTTTTTTTTTAATTCTAAGGTAAACGAAATCAATTTAATATTTCTTCTCTCATTGTTCAACGAGCTATAAAAAATTGAAAAAAAAAAGATGCATGATATTATTTGCCAAGCTCGCCGTAATTGCTTAGCAATCTTATATGTATAAAAGTTATGCAAACTTCACATACGATAATATTAACCTACCTTTAAAGAATATTTTTAATGTTTGTTGTATAATTAAAATTATACATTTTTCAACATAAATACTATTAATAATGTAATAATATTGTGCTTAAATAATGATTTTTATTCAAAACAATTTCATAAATATTAAATAAGAAATAAAAATTATTTATTTTCCAAAAAATTTACAGGATTATAATATTTATGTTACAAAATATTGGTTTAGAAATCATACAATATATTATTAACGCTTTTGTATTGTTCCAAAGTATATTTTGACGTAACATTGCAATGATACTACAAATAAATGCAGAATAAAACATTAATGTATGCAGAGGTCGTCGATATCAATTTAAAAATAACAAAATTGAACTGACTACAATAATATGTTTCTTTAATTTTCCATTAAATTTATCAAGAATAAATAATTAATATTTGTAAAAAATTGAATTTAATCAAATAACAAAGTGTAATAATAATGATTAACGATTAAAGTAATAATTTATTATCATAAAATATTGTATCAAATAACTATTTAAAAAAAAATTAGTCTACTTGTTTTTATTTGTCTCATAAACCAATGTATTTTTTTTTATTTTTTTTTTTTTTTAATACACATCATTATATGTAATTTTGATAAATTATTGATATAAAATGCCTATTATTTAAATATTTTATCATGATTATGATTATTGTTGTTTTGTTCATTTGGTGTCAATTAAAACTTAATAACTAATAAAAATAAGTCAAAAACGTTCTAAGTTTCCTTATTATTATTTGATCTATATTTACTATAGGAAAGAATTAAAAATATATTTATATAATTGTAAAGCCAAGAGAAATATTGTATAATACATAACTTTATCAATTTTATTTTATTGTTATATGTTATTATGTCTATTCTATTTCGTTTAACATTAGTATAACATATATTATATTGCTTTAATCGATCACACAATATTGAGTTTAACCATGATTATTACTGTTTTAAAATTTAATTTCTTACGACATATATTATAATATAAAATATGCTGTAAGAATATATAATATACATAATAGATAGTATAGAATAAGTATTAATAAGTTTATGTTTAATGATAACGTAATTCAAAAACAATCAAATAAATATAAAGGTGAAAAAACATTTTTTTTTTTTCTAAAACAAATTAGCATTAAATAATTGGTTGCAATTAAACAATAAAAACTTAACAGGGTTTTCTATGTAACTCGAATAATATTGAAATAATAATATATTCAGTGGATTCATTTTTTGATCCCATCACATATTTAAATGTTTAATTTTAATGAACATCTAGTGCATACGATTTTTTTTTTAAATCGCTTAAATTAACTATTCTATTTTTTTTTTTTTTTTTTTTTTAATTCCATTAAATCAACAGTTAAGCTCCTATTAATATAAAAGGGCATAAATTAAACAAATTTCAAACATACAATATGTTACAGTATGTTTTTTTTTCAATATTTTTTTTGTCGATTTTCCAGTATTGTTATTCTAGCGAGTCCGTGTTTACATTTCACCAAAGATTCCAGCAAACGTTTTCCTTAAATTTTTCATCGTATCTTCTGTATCGTCCAATTGTCCTTTATTTTGCTGCGCCGGAGCAAGAGTCGGAGCTGAAATTATGGAACCTTGACGGCTCAGATTTGCTTTCACCGGTTGACTAGACTGATGGCCGCTGGTGACGCTACTCTCTGAAACTACGAATTTCATATTTTATACTATAAATCCTTCACGAGTTATATCATTTAAGATTTTGACTAAACATCTAAGCTAATTTGTCCTACCCAAAGAGTCTCGTCTCGCCAGAATAGCTGTTGGTTCTTCTTCTTGTGTTTGGGTGACTGCTTGAAGATTCATATTGGCCAAAACTTGTGTCTAGTATAATAAATTTTATATTAATAAGCATTTAGTATTTAATAATACATAACGCAAATTTACTAAAAAAAACAATTTATAATAATCACTTGGTTGGTAAATGCGTTTTAATTTTTTAAGCGTAGAAAAATTTTTATTTGTTACATAATATTAAAGTTGATACATCATAAAATTAAAAAAAAAGATTATTATTAAGAATGTCGTATTTTTTTTAGTGTGTTGAGAGCAATTTAAAAATTTAGTATTTCACATACTTTGTAAGATTATTCATTAGGTAATAATGTAGGTTATAATTTATAACTCAAGTAATAATTAATCTATTAATGAAATTCTACGAGATATCGTGGATAATATTCGTACTTTTTAGTTTTATATTAACTAATAAATCAAATAACGCTTAAAAACAAATAGGTTTTACCGAATGCAAATTTTCTATGTTGTACGTTTGTAAGACAGAAAAAAATATGTAAATTTTTTTGGTGTCCTCTTAACAGTTTTTTAAATCTAATATTCTTAGATTAATTTAACATATTATTATTGAATTAAAGTAAATTTTAAATACTTCTAATTTTTCCATGATCAAATCGAAAATATATTTTCTATCTTCTTCTTGCTGATTTCCCAGCAGAGATAATGCAGAGTCATTGACGCCAATTATTTGTTCTATTCCATCTTTAGAGACAACTACTTCCAATGACAAAATATCCAAACCACCAAAAAGTTCTGCCACAGAATCCAACCAAAATTTATATCTTTCTAGAACTTCTGTTTCTTCCAACATTGCTGAACCAACACACGATTTCCAATTGCCCGATATGCTTTTACGCCTGAAAATAATTTCAAAATTAATTAGTGAATTAATGTTATATGATCACAACGCTTTTTTATTTACATCAATGCTCTATAATGAGGTCCAATTTTAGTTAAATGAAGATCGTATTTGCTATCGACAAAAGGTTCGGTGGTGCAGTACGTTGCGGCAACAGATACAATTGATGTCATATCTTGGAAGTCGGAATTATTTTCGACTTTTATTTTTCCAACGCCTCCATGAGCGTGCCCGACTTTGAGGACCACTGGTAATTGAGTGGCTACAGACTGAAACGCAATATTATGTGCCATTATTTATCCATTGTTACTACTTTATAAAAATATATAATTTATTTACCATTTCACCTGAACTCGGGTAGAAAGTCTGTTCGATCAACGGAAAGTTTTCCTTGCCCAATTTTTTTTGAAGTTGTACCAATTGTCCATACACCCACGGTTTATCCTGAAAATATTAGTAATTTATTAATATGAAACTAAATATTTAAAAATATGACTAAAAATCAGAAGATAGTTGAAGATTGGGTTATGATTTGTTTTATATACGAAATTAATGGGAAGATAATATATGGTAAAAAACCAATAACTTCAAATATCATATATTTTATGATGTTAACTTCAACATTTATGTAAGTTTTTTTCAAAATATAATTAAGAAAAATAATTGAAAAGAGTTCTGATAGTTTAAATATATAAAATAATTATCATTATGGTTTTATTTATAGTTTCGTTAACCTTTGATTATCAAAAATAAGTTAAATGCAATTTTGTGAATCATGGAACAGTTACTTATTACGAGTACTTACTAGTATTAAAAAATAATAAATTTGATCATTAAAACTTTAATCGTTATTTAAAGAATTTTGGCACAAATTAGCATAATATATATGTGAATTCACAATGGTCAAATTTTCACTAGTTCTGCTTATAATAAAATAATAAATTATGACATGATGAGTGATAGAAAAATGTCAGAAGTCAACGCTGAAAGAGATTTTCGCACCTGGAAGTTGTACAACGAGTGTAGAGAATTGATGCTGGGCACACCGCCGATGTTCAGTCCCAACAAGACGTTTCGATAATCTTTACTGGCATCTCTGACGCTCTGCCGGCACAGGAAGAAATCCGGTCTGAACGAACGGACTACCCGAGAACCAGACGGTGAAAGTACCGCCATGCTGACTGTGCATCCTCGTTCTGCGCTCGCGGTCACCGTTAAGTCTTTTATGTCCGCCTGTTCGACGTGTATCTCAAAATCACCAAAGAACCGTTTGCCCCGGAAGTATCTAGACCTATGTTAAAACCAATAAACGGTCATATGGAAAAAATAAACAAAACAAACACGCCTCACCAATCAAAGTTCTCGTCGTCCACCACAAGTAACGTTAACAAACGGTCTTTGTTCACTCTCTGCTGTCTTCGTGTTGCTGCCGCATCTGTAGACAACCCATTGGGTAAACAATTATAAATTTAGAGTATAACAAAAACAATAATATTATTCATATTACAGAAAAGACTTTTAATAAACACCAGTTGCTGTTAAAAATCATTTGAAATGGATACACGCACCTCAAAATTCACTTTTTAATATGTTAAGTACGATTGATTCATAAATTGGAAATATTTAAAAACTAATTTTAAACTACTTATTAGAGTTACTAGTATTCAAATGTCATATTTCATGATTGATAAAGGCATATGGTTATACGATATTAAATAGATAAACAATTTTATATACCAGAAAATCTAGAGTTAGAAGGTCATAAATCATAATATTGATAAATAAAAACCAAATTTTCATTGTTAAAATAGGTATATTCAATTTGCATAAAAAAATGATAAGAGATTGAAAAACTTAAATGAAAATAACCGTACAAAAAATAACAATAATAACATTTTGGTATGAAGTAATATCGAAAAAATAAATAGCACAATCAATGTTTTTCTTTTCTTTTTCTTTTTTTGGCATTAATTTTGGTATTTTAAATAGCACTATTGTTAGCCATAAAAGTCTTCACTTTTCCTTACAAAATGGGTTTAGTTAAAAATTGATAGACATGTGGCTTAAACTCTTAATCGCAACTATCAATCAACTCGATAATATGCATATTTAAAACATTTTACACGACATATTATATATACATAACAATAATACCATATAATAATTATATGAATTAATAAAATTTAAAATAATGCATGTTTCATGTTTTAGATTCCTATCTGCTTCATTGTTGTTTTTTTATATTATCAGACACTTTCTGAAGGACACCTAATTTATGGGGTAGGTATAGTTTTTTTGTTATAATACGAAGAAACATGTTTAATTTAGATGTTGAAAATCGTATTTCTACCTTTGTGGTTTTAATTAAAAATTTATCACTGCTTAATAAACTAGAACTAATAAAACGTGTTAAAAAAATTGTTTTTAGTAAAATATGTTAAACTTATGGTTTATAGAGATTTTTTTGATAGTTTTTAGTTTTTAGTTATAATTTATTATATTTATATACAATTTAATATTATTCATATTAAAATGTCTATCAACAAAAGGGAAAATAAATTTAAGGAATTATAATGCGGGAAACCTATTTATTATCGAAGTACATAGCTGCTGTTTTTAATTCGAGTTTATAACCGTGTTATCTAAAGTAACCAGCTGTGTATTTTTAATATAGAAAAAATGTACGAATAAAACTTTCTTTTGAAACATTTTTTTATCTGTAATTACGTACACGTCAAGGAACGCGTATCGATTCAGAAAAAAAATTATATCACTGTTTAACTATAAAATATTAGCGAGCGATACGAATTGAATGAACATTAAAAATCAAACTATTTTACTGACAATTATTTAAATACGATTTATAATCCCTGTGTTCTTTGTAATCGAAATATTTCGTACGGGTTATTATATGTACAGAATTTAATACCAAGAATGGATAGAAAGAAAACTATTATTTGAAAGCATTTTGAAAATGCTTTTGTATGTAGTTTGATTGGTAAGGCGTTTTAAAATATATCAAAAGTGATTAGCATCACGTGCACACTATTGAATGTAAATTTTTGACGTGGCTTTAACATAAAAAAACGTTATGTACTCTAATATTATCCAGGATACAAGTCAATACTATTTCGTTTATTTCAAAATATATAATATTATTTACTAACGCTACTTAAAATTGATAATCACGTTAGTCTTCAAAACGGAGATTGTTATTATTTATTATAATGAAAATACTATTTCGAGAGAGCGTCTTTAACACTAAATGCTTAGTGTAGGTACTCGTTCGTTAAATATATTTTGTGATATCGATTTGTTTGGAATAAAAAAAAAAAAATGTAATAACTAATAAAACATCAAAACGTTATAGTGTAAGTATTTAATTTAACGTATAACTAATTGAATTAATTATTAGTCAACCACTTGAAAACGTCAATGTCTAAGTAACTAATATACCTACTATTCGTTTTTGAATGGTATTGTATTTTTTATTTATACTATCTGGACAAAGGATAAGATTTAACCGCATTAAATATACCCTTGTCATCCGTATAGGTATTATAAAGCATGTACGACGACGTACGTAATGTATTATTATTACTATACAAACACTTCGAGTATTTACTGCAGTGTGCAACGCTGACCACAAGAATTTCAGCAGATCCATTACACAGTATAATTGTATGAAGTATTTTGACCTAATAGTGAGTTGGGTAAAATTTGAGGACAAAGTTTATTAAAATCTAAGTATTACGGATGCTATTTATAAATGTTGGACAAATGATTTATATTATGCAACTTACATATTATTTTATATACAAACCGATTAGATATTATTTAAACAAACTATACGATAGTGCAGCATAATGATATTTTTTTAAATTTTCAATAACATAATATATAAGGTGATTCAAAATGTATATTATAGTCATTTGTCATATGTATAAATATTAATAATAAAGAAAAATAAATAAGAATTCAAAGCTTAGGTGATTGGAGTAGTAGACCAACCTTATACAGGGTATCTCCATACCACTCTACTCCGCTCACCAAAACTTAAAATATTTATTACTCATAAGCTACTCGTTTGAAACTTAATTTTTATGTATCGAAATACTCTTATAAAAAATTCTTTATAGTATGTTTGTAAAATAAGTTTAAAATTCAGTTTACATTTCTAAAATGCCTCCATATATATAATATTAAAAAAAAAAAAAAATTAAAAATTATTAATCGTTTTAGATTTTCTAAATAATAATAATAAAAAAACTTGTATCAAACATTTGTTTCTATTATAAATATGTATATGATAAAATGGTTGTAACATACATTTTGTAGACCTCTATAGCCTACATATGAAACCTTTTTCGAAAAATAAATAATTTACTCATTCCATTTGTTTTGCACACTAATAGTTATTCTTTCAATGAGTTGCACTATGACAGTCGACAGTTATATTTTTTGTATTTGATTTGATAAATATAGATAAACAAGTAATGTGAAAAATGGTAAAATGTACTTTTTTGGTATTTACAGAAAAATAATATTGCTTACGGTGACGATGAGTAAACTTTTTACTAAATCGTCGAATTAAATATTGAAAAAAAATCATCGTTTTTTTGAACTCTTAAGATAAATCATTGTATTTCGATTAATTATATGAAAAATAATAATTATAGAGAAATAAGTATATATTGCCTACTAGAAAAAGTGTGAATAATTGAAATTCCCTCTTCATCCAAGAAACTTGGCTTTATTTGGTATAATATTACAACGTGTGTGGATTACGTATGGTCGATACTTACACTTGATGTCGTTGCTTATCGAACTGGCCTTCTCCTTAGCCGCGTCCGTCAGTGATTGGACACGCTGTAGTATCGAGTCTCTCGTCTTGGCTGGACTGGTCGGTGCGCTTATGGTCCGGTTACCCGGTTGCTGTTGCTGGAATTCCAGTCGCATGTCCGCTGCCTCGGATGCGGGCGTGGCGGCTTGCGAACGCGATGGTTTGGACGCGTACTGCCGCTGTTGGGCGCGTTGTTGTGACTGCGCCCCAGAAGCCGGCGGCCGGTCGGTGGGAGCCATCGAAGGGTCGGCATCGTCTGCTTCCGAAGATAGGTCTCCCGAAGAGAACCTGTAAAACAAAGTAGTCGTATTAAGAATTCGTGCGATACAGTGACCGTTTTGTTTTCGTTTTAAAATCTATTTATTGATTTTTTGTGTTATAATATGTATATTGTATATAGATTATTTTATGTGTTGGTGACTCTAAATAATTTGTTTTCGTCTGTTAGGGAGAGGGAAGAGTCACGGATATTGCAGTGGCTTGAGAAAATCGATCTGAAAGTGACGTAATGGCTGGAGGAAAATAAGTCGATAAAAACATATTTATTTATTTATTTTCTAATTAAGGGGTGATATCCTTTGAATAAAATAAAATAAATAAGATATAATTAACAAAAAAATATGTATATAGTTATAAAAAAAATAATATTAATGATAATGATAAACTCGATACAAAATTATAGATTAATTAAAATTAGTTAAATAAGAAAGGAGGTGTCTTCATTGTCAAGCGATATTAAACGTCTCATTAATTTGTTTTTAATATGACAACTTTTGAATTGGAAAATATGATAATATATAGGTAAATAAGTAGAATATTTAATTAACCTTAAAAGTAAATAAATGGTAAGTGAGCAGTAAAGTCTATTACATTGAATAACAGTGCTCTTAGTTTAACATCAGTCTACGGTCCGCTAAAGAGTTCTAAGCTTAGAATCTATATAAGACTACATAATTATCTGAGGGAAATCGAATGCCTAAAATAAAACTTATATATCTTAATAATATAAATTTATATATGTTTTTATAATTACAATACATAAATATCATATAAATTTTAAAAATTTGTCATAATTTAGCGATCTCTATATTTTACTCGTTTATTTTATTTTGTAATTGTCTCCAGGATAATATTATGTTCACTAAAAATCTATATATGATAGTGTGGTACAATAAAATTTTAGTCGTAGCATCTAGGACACCATCCTCTTAAGATATCATTGCTTAATGAGTATCGTATTTTAAGAAAAATATTTTTATGCTATATGAATAATATCAGATTATACTGTGATAGTGTGATGGTATTTTCGCTCTGATGAGAGAAACATTAAAGTACATTATGATTTATGGATGTACAAAGAAACGTCATCTTTAATCTGGAAAAGTCGAACACACTGGTACAATAGTATTTAGCGCGTAATAAATTACCGAACATTAGTCATTAATGTCATGTCGCTTCCCATTATAACAGATTATGAAATCTGGAATTTATGCTTCAAGATCCTATAATAATTTTCTTATTTATGCTAATATATGAGAGTGATTAATTTTCCGTTTAATCGTCAAATCTGTTGTGACTTTTATAAATATATATTTTTATATACATAAAAATTTAACAAAAATGAATGAGTAATGTACAGTATACACATCGATCTACATTGTTGAAAAAATACCTAATTGTTATTGAATTATTGTTTTTATTACTGTATTTCTTATACATTTTTATACTTAAGTTCTGAATTTAGTTAGTAGTGATGTAGTGAAGTTTTGTAACTTTTATGTCATTAGCATACTCAAAAGTTATTTATGAATATTACACTATATGGTATAGGTTTACTACCAATTTATAAATATGAATATGACATAGTACGGTTTCATATGGTATTTATGCGTCATAGCTCGCCATTCGTTCGAATTTCAAATACACATTAAATATAAGTTATTTGCATAATACCAAATATTCTGATTATCTGCTGGTTTATGAAAACAAATATTTTATACACATATAGTTATTAATATTATACCCATTGTTATATTATTATAATGAATTAATATATAAATAGCTAGATAACGAAAATAATATTTACTATTTTCTTGTGATATTCATTGACTTTAAATTTTAAAATTAAATTATAACTCATAAAAACATTAAAATACAAAATATAATTTTCAAATATATTATTAATGTTTGATAACTTTACTATAGATATAATGTACAATGAACTTAGATCCTTAATTTTATTTTAAATCTATATTATTTTTCGGGCACTAGTCCAAAATGTACTTAGTTTATTTACAATATTTTTTCCAATCATTGAAAAGTAATATGATTGTGGTTATAACTTACACGAATACTTCTAACCAGCTATTTTATTTGAATCGGTTTAAATAATGAATTAAAGAATTTGAGATTATAAATTTAAAAATGTATTTGTATTTTTTATAAACAATACTAACTGTATTGTTTAGGTATGATTTTCACACACATTTAACGAAATAACTATATTGACGAAAAAATGAATGAATAATCTTTTTATCTCATTAGGTTAAAATAGTATAAAAAGTTAATTTTTGATTTTTTTTTCGATTTGATAAATTATGTTTTAAAAATATAGATAGCTTATGAACGGAATGGGTTGAACAAATTACAAACAAAAACCACAGGCGACTCGTCCATGTAATACGTTATTAAGGTTTAATTTATACTAATCTTTGTTTGACCCATACCCAGATTAATAGACGCAGTGGTATATAATTTCTGAAATGTAAGAGAATTAATTTAAATTTTAAATCTCATTACATGTATCTGTCATTATAGGTGTTAGTACTGTGACTGTACATAAATTAATTTTGCAAGTGACTGTACATAATGGCCCAAAGTTACTGTTTCAAAAGGTTTTAATTTTTAATTTTGAGATAACGTTGAAATGTAACAATAAAGGCAGGTAGCTATGGCAAAAACAAAAAAATGATTGTACTATGTTAGATTCGTACATAAATTATTCAAACAATGTACATTTTGTTAGGTTTTAGAACCAACCTTTAAGTGTCAAAGAATCGTTTGCAAAACAAAATATATAGTAATGAGTATTAACATAAAAACGCACACTGTATTGCTTTGAAATAATTATTTAGAAAAGATTATTTTTTGTACAGATCTGATTTAAAATGTAATTATTTTGCCGTATTATTAATGAAAACTAGCTGCGATTTTTGGGAATTTTAACTTATATTACACGTATGGGTATGATTACATTGTAAAATTATATCAGTAAGTACCCAAAACCCATGAACAAAATTTTTGTTAAAATATGATGATTGGTAGGTAAATTATTCACATTCAAATTCAAAAATCTTCCATCTAGAAGTATAGAGTATAGACATAATTCCTAGTTCAAATAATTATACATACTTTTTTTTTTTTTTTTTTTTTTTAATTGATGTTGTTATGTATGAGACTTTTACTATAACATTAAGTCACTAAGAAAAAGTAGTCAAATTTTATGCCAAAATGTATATCAATAAAATTTAAAAAAAAAATAAACTACACAACTTTTATTTAATCTACAACTAAAATATATTATGTTATTATAACTACAATCTAAAAGTTACAATGTGATATATGTTAAAAATTACCTTCGTTTCAAATAATTGACATTGGTGGTGAAAGATTGTTTGAACGTTGAGAATGGAATTTTGACTGATTATTTGAACACGGGTTTGTATAAATGAGAGAGCTAAGTACGCTCTCGTAAACAAACTGAAATCGAAAGGGATTATTTTGTTATCAAAAATAATAATATTAACTATGATTAACTAAATTTTATATATTTTTACCTTGCTGTATTTATGGTATTTATTTTTTATTTTTTATTTTTTTTTTTAGGGTTTGGAAAAAAATTTCGGACGTGTAAAACTCTCGTATATAAATAGGCGTCAACTGCACTTACACGCGTTTTTCACTGTGTCGGCGGTAGTAGCCGATCGATAGCTACACCGACAGATGCGACGTGCCCACTATGCGACCGCTAACCCCTGGTGGTGATTTCCAGAACAATTATGCGGAATACGGGTGTAACAGTGAAACGCAGTCCCCGGGACGACGTACAGAGGGTGACTTCTGGAAAATCCATACAGCCATAGGGAAATCGAATTGCTGCTATTATATAAGACGAGGCGGGAGTGTGTGCCGTTGGCGGAAAACCAAAAGCGGCGTGAATGGGGTCCCGATTTTTTGTTTAAATGACCTACATGTATAAACATATAAGACAAAAAATAAAAAGTAAAATCAGGGTGAGACGATGTCGACCCTCAATCTTATCTATCTTTTAAAATATACACGCCCTTAACACTTATGTATAATTTTACGGAAATTTTTTTTTTTTTATAGTGTACCAATATTAAACTAAGCCAAATTTTACTTTTCTCACTTACAAAATGTATTACAATTTTTTTATTGCCATTTAAAATTGTTTCGAAATTGGTACGAAATAATAACATTAATGTGGGACCAATCAGAAACAGCTCGGTGTTATAGATATGTGATTTTAGCATCTCGAATTTTGTTAATTTTTGTCACTGTAAAAAATATTTGCATCATAGTTGCGAAATAATGATACTAATTTAGAAATCATTGGAAAAATCAGGGGACCAACTTCGTGTACAGTGCATCTAAGTAAATATTATAGAGGATTTTTAAATCGTCGATTTTTCGTTTTTTTTTTTTTATTTTCTATAAAATATAACTGATGTCTATACAAATTTGAAATAAATGCAATATAGTAAATATGTTACTGATATTAATATTTTAAAATTAATTCCTATGATCTTGCTTAGATCACAACAATAATATAATCTGTATCCTCTACTGTGTATAGAATCTAAGAAGTAACCGACGGATTCCGCTTGATGAAACGCCCTTTGTATACAAGCGAGAAGATTGTTAGAAAACAAGCTCCTATGTTGTTGTATTCTTATCTTTATTTTCAAAATTGTCTACAGTCATTTATTTTCTGTGTTATATAGTTAGCTTGTCTGTAATGTAATAATAATTATATTTTGTTGCACTCGAAGCCGATTGTTACCTTGCAGTAATTGTTATAGTTAGGCACAGATTTATTTAATTCAACTCGGAGCTTAAAACTAAGTCAAAAATTATTATTTTTTTTTATTTTTTATATTAACTAGCATAAATACCATATTTAAAAAGCTTAATAACTTGTTTTTCTGTTAATTAAAAAATGAACAAGTACATTAATTACAAACATACTTTATTTATGGTATAGTTAAAAATCAGAATTAAAAACACATTGAATATATATATATATTTTTAACTATTTTGTAATCACGCTGTATTCACTGTTTTCAGTTTTGTTTAGGTCTACAATATTTTTTGAAACAATTTATTAGATTCAAATTATATTAACCTATCATCATACTGTAAATAGTAAAATAAAATATTAATCTTCATTTATAAACAAAGTATGGCATAACATTTATATTACACATACAAAATCTTAATAATACACAATCGTCCTGGTGCGTGACCTAAATAGTGATTATTAATTTATAATATTACCTAATTTAATATTGTTCTCCACATTAAACACAAATTTTAAATTCCAAAAGTAGTGATAAATATATTGCCTTTACAATATTGTATTTTTTGTGTCTGTTTACATGGTGAATAGGAAAAATACATAAATCATCGAATTTGAAGGTAGATCCTGATAGAAAATTAAATCTAGTTCATTGAGGTTAAAATTTATATTTCAGTATTTGTAAAAATATCAGGAATTAAATAATGCAATTTAAAAAAAAATTAGATTACTAATACTAAAATAAACTAATATAGTAGCAATATATTTGTACGTATAATAGTTAGTAGGTTGACAGATATTTACCTCGCTTATAATCGTTTATCGTTTACAATAATTTATTATTGAATTCAATTATAACACACCCATTACACTGACCTACTCAATTAAGAGTAACACTGAAACCCTACTGTACAACATAATAGTTTATACCTTCTTTTCCTCTTTTAAAAATAAATTTATTGTTAAATTCTTAATGTTCTTAAATATATCTGTATGACGTATGCCATATAGGTAACTATAATAATAAAATATTATTTAATATTTTGTACTTAAGTACAGAGTTAAGAATAAAATAAAATATGAAACAAGAACATGTTTTTATTTGATCATTCACTATTTTTCCAAATCAGATTGCGTATATTATAAGTCGTGCTAGAAGTTGATCATGAAATTATAAAACTGAAAAATAAGATGCATAAAAAATTTAAAAAAAAATTAAAAATTACTTTAATTACTTATAGTGTTGTATTCTAGTTGTAATAAATATTAAACTAACAATAACTAATACAATGTGTGCATTAGCCGTTCACCATTTGGTAGATAAAGATTTAATTATGTATATTACCCGAGATTAAGACGGTTTTTGGAGATAATATTTCAAACGTAATATAGCAATTTAAAGAAGGCTCTTCTGAAAAATTATAACTCGTTAAATAAACGTAGTAGGCTGCATGGCGAATTCATATTACAACACGTGGTGTTAACACTCTAGGTAATTTTTTTCATACTTACATTAATTCGAGAGCTATTATATGGACAGTTACACGAGAGTTTATAGTTCTTTATAAATTATAAGCATTTTATATGTTTTTATACGTAGAGAAACTGTGCTCCAAATTGTAATATGTTCGTGTAAACATTATTGTTGCAGCAAATCTTTTTGGCAAAAACCTACGTACCTATATAAATTATAATTGTATTTTTTAGTCCAGAAAATAAAAATAACGAATAATATAAAATTTTAGCAAATAAACAATTTATAACGTTATTAAAAGTCATTAATATATGTTTTCATAACTCGTAAATTTATTAAATTTTCGATATTCCGTAAATATTAGTAATGTAAACTCCGATGATTAATAATTTTTTCGAAATAATATTCTATTGATATATTTACAAACAGTTTAAACACTTCTTGCTTAAATCAGTACGTTTTATCCGAATCTATAGTTGAAAAATATAATAGTTAATACGATTTCATCGTTTTATACGTCTAAAAAGAAACTAGCTCTATTATTAGACGTTAATTAATAATTAAACTTATTTAGATTCTGAAGCAAAAACATCTAAATAATTTTTTTTTTTTTTTTTTAAAAAAAGATAAAATAAGCGACATGACATAAATTAAATGGCATGAAATTAAATTATAACACATCAAATGTAGATTATAATTAATCAGATATAATTTAAGAGTGAACCATAGCGTACGGAATAAAAGTTTTTAGATAAAAATTGGACTTAACCCCATGTGGAATCAAAATTCCTAAACTCTCAAGAAAGTAAACATAATGAATGAAAATATCTTGTTATTTCATAAGAAGTTTTCTTAGAAAATAAAATGTATGTTTTTCATTTATACTACCCCACATGAATTCCTTTTCGTTTCAGACTTACTATATTTGTAATAGTTAGACTTGAACTTTAAGCAATGTCAACGATTCAAAGTTTTGTTTTACACTTTAAATAAATATTATCTAATGTAATACTATGTAATTGCTTACCAATAGTTAATATGTCATATTAGTATCACTGTGATATATAACTTAAATAAACATTACATAATATCACTAAAACCATGAAAAACTAAGTATACTAGCATGGTTGTAGTAAAATAAAAATAAAAAAGGAACTTAAGTATAAAGATGGTGAGATGGTTTTATCATTATGAGTTTGAGAGGTCTTTGTGAAATAATTTTACCAGTGTAAACGTTATGTGAACATATTTTAACTAACTTAAGTACTTTAGGTATTTTTCAATGTAATATGAAACTAATTTAATTATTCACCTTATGAGAATAGCTACGAAAATTCCTTTTGAAAAGACATCGTGTTCAATATAGCCTTTGTCATTCTAAAATCTTAAAGTTTTGAGAAAATTCCTTAAAATATACATTATATATAATTATAAAATATAATTTTTAAATATCAAATATTTTCACAACTAATATAAATACGGGTTGGTGATTAAAAAAAAAATAAACATTATCTACGGTTATGTGAGATTAGATAGTATTGTGTTGTAAACATTTGAAAGATATTAAACTTATTGTTTTTAGATGCACACATGTTTATTGTTTAACGAAATAACACACTAGGTACACAAAAAAAGTCCAACTTATAACGAAGAATACCTAGAATAAAAAAAAAAAAATTCTAATGAAATCCTATGAACGACTAAATAAAAACCTGAACTACGATCTACATCGAATCTATGTTTGAAGAACAGATGTTACGATGACATGAAAATTTCTTCGGCTAACACGATATAAATGGATGCAACAGATGCCTGACGTTCTCATATATATATATATATAATATATAATCGCCTGTGACGAAAATCATAAATAATTAATCGGGCAACTCCAAGACTGAGAATTATTTGACGAAATCTGTAAATTTTGTTGTACTGTATAACGAAGAAAGTTTCTCTTTTTTCCGTGAATGCTTAGACCTAAATTGATTTTTTTTTTTTTCATAAATTATATATGTAACCTACCTATGGCACCATAATGTTGTTGCTTCATGTCATTGATATTAGTGGAATAATAATTTTATCTGGAGTTATTCATATTCCTATTCTTATTTTACAATATAAATTGAAAAAAAATAATTTTAAGTATCTAAATTGATTTAATTATTTCTATACAGCTTTTAAAATATTTTACAACGTAGTATAATTTATGTTCTATTATTATAATTTATCATAGGCTTTGTATAATTTAATGCAACTCAAATAAAATTCAATAAATAATCATACTAGTAAAGATAAAAGTTAAAGTTCAATTACATATTGATTATTGTACACTGTACAGTAACAAAAAGATCAAAACAAAAAAAAAATACTAACATTTTTAAAATTAATCAATTTAATTGACAAAATATAATTGAACT